TGAAAGTAGTCTTCTGTGGTAGGCAGAATAATAGCCCCCGCAAAGATGTCCAGGTCCTAATCTCTGGAACTTGTGAATATTATTACCTTACATTGCAAAAGGGAGTTTGTAGATGTGACTAAGTTGAGGATTTTGAGATGGGGAGATTGTCATGGATTATTCAGATGAGCCCAATGAAATTACAAGGGTCTTTATAAGACAGAGGCAGCAGGATCAGAGTTTGAAAGAGATTGGAAATGCATGTTATGCTGCTGGCTTTAAAGATGGAGAAAGAGGGCGCCTGGGTGGCTCAGTTGGTTAAGCGACTGCCTTCAGCTCAGGTCATGATCCTGGAGTCCCTGGATCGAGTCTGGGAGTCTGCTTCTCCCTCTGACCCTCCCCCCTCTCATGTGCTCTCTCTTTCTCAAATAAATAAATAAAATCTTTAAAAAAAAAAAAAAAAGATGGAGAAAGAGCCATGAGCTAGGGGATGCAGGTGGCTTCTAGGAACTGGAAAAGCAAAAAATAGATTATTCTCTAGAGCTTGCAGAAGAAACAAATCCTGCTGACACCTTGATTTTAGTTCAGTGAAACCCATTTCAGATTAAGCCACTGAATTTGTGGTAATTTGTTATAGCAGCAATAGGAAACTATTACTTTCTGTTTGTAGTTTTGTGGTGGTGGTTTTTTTATCAGGGTAAGTACTGAATTTTGTCAAATGATTTTTCTACATTTCTTCAGGTGATCATGTTTTTTCTCCTTTATTCTATTTATATAAGAATTATATTGATGTTCCATTTTTTTTAAAGATTTTATTTATTTGACAGAGAGAGTGAGAGAACATAAACAGGAAGAGCAGCAGAGGGAGAGTGAGAAGCAGGCTCCCCGCTAAGCAGGGAGCCCAACGCAGGGCTCCTGAGCCGAAGGCAGACTCTTCCCTCCCCCTCCCCAAAATAATCTTAAAAAAAAAAAAAAAAGGGTGTCTGGCTGGCTCAGTTGGTAGAGCATGTGACTCTTTATCTCAGACTACTCAGTTCAAGCCCCACGTTGGGCACAGAAATTACTTAAAAATATGACAAACCTCAAACTAAACCGATTAAGGGGAAAAAAAGGCAATAAATTACCAATATCAAGGTGTAGAGCTTCCTTAAGAAAAACAGGGCGCCTGGGTGGCTCAGTTGGCTAAGCGTCTGCCTTCGGCTCAGGTCATGATCCCAGGGTCCTGGATTCGAGCCCCATGTTAGGCTCCCTGCTCCTCAGGGAGCCTGCTTCTCCCTCTCCCTTCCTGCTTGTGCACTCTCTCTCTCTCTCAAAAAAAAAAAAAAAGGTTAAAAATATTTGCTAATGGGCACCTGGGTGGCTCAGTCGGTTGAGTCTGACTTTGGCTCGGGTCGTGGTCCCGGGGTCCTGGGATCAAGTCCCAAGTTGGGCTCCCTGCTAGGAGGGGAGCCTGCTTCTCCTTCTGCCCCTCCTGCCTGCTCATGCTCTCTCTCTCCCTCTCTCTCAAATAAATAAAAATCTTTAAAAATATTTGCTAATTTTTCTTGTGATTTCTTCTTTGACTTCTGGGTTATTCCCAAGTATTTGGGGATTTTCCAGATATTTTGTTAATTTATAATTTTATTCTGTTGTGGTCAAAGAACATAACTATTTTTTTTAAGATTTTATTTTTTTGAGAGAAAGAGAGATTGAGGGAGAGAAGGAGCAGGGGCAGAGGGAGAGAAAGAAACAGACTCCCACCCGAGCAGGGAGCCCAGTGTGAGGCTTGATCCCATAACTCCATGATCATGACCTGAGCCGAAGACACTCAACTGAGCCACCCAGGCGCTCCAGTAACTATTTTTAAGATTTATTTGAGAGAGCGAGAGAGAGAGGCAGCGCACAGCGAGGGGCAGAGGGAGAGGTACTAATTTATCTTCCCACCAGCACATCCTTGCTGACATCTACTGACATGTTTTCATATTCTAACACTTCTGCCCACTTGAGTCTATAATAGCCACACTTAACATTCATGTAAACTGTGCCCACCCCTGTGCTGCGCACTGTGTGAATGATCTCATTTCATCCTCACAAGAGCCCTATCAATTAAGAATGTGTGGTCATTTATGGCCAAGAGAGCAAGTCTTCATCCCTCTCCTGTCCACTTGCCTTCTGTCTGGGCCCAGTAGCCATCTCAGCTTTCTTCTCCCAGCTTGGGTTGGGATGGGTCCCAGTAGGGCCTCAATCCTGCCCCAAACGCTTTCCTCCTCAGGTTGTTACTCCCTGTCAGTCCGCCTTAGCCGCCCTGCATCGTGGGACCGGATCAGACACTACAGGATCCAGTGCCTTGATAATGGCTGGCTGTATATCTCACCACGCCTCACCTTCCCTTCACTCCAGGCCCTAGTGGATCACTATTCTGGTACGGCCTTTCCATTAGACTGGGATGTGGAGTCTGGGGGGCAGACAGTTGTGCCCTTAGACACTTTACCTGCTGGAGAATATCCAGACAGGCAGAGGAGGGATCTCTCCATCTCCATGGCAGTCCCTGTGCTAAGAACATAGGCCGAGAGCTGTCTGCATCTCATGCCCTGACAGAGCCACATAGATCTCCCATGTGGTTCTGAGTCCAAGACCTCAATGGCAGGCACAGTTCTCTCCGCAGGAACTAGGCCCAGAGCTGTTGCTGTTGTGCAATTCAGTTGACTCAGCATTTCCTGGTGCCTGTCCTGTTATAGGGACTGGAGCATGCAGCCAGGAGGGCAGTGTCAAAGGGGCAGAAAGGAAAGACCACTCCTGGGAAAACTGATCAGGTGTTTCCTAGAGGGTGGGTCCATGCAGTAGATACTGACAGAACATGTAGAGATGAAGTATTTTCTAGCTTTCTTCTTCCTAAAGCACTTTCCTAACCAGAAACTGGCACTCAAAGAGGTCCATCAAACTACCCAAAACCACAGCAAATTACATCTTCAAAACCTAGCCTAGAATGCTGATTGCATCTCAGCCCCTAGATCAACAGCTTGAGGCTTGTGCCCTGTCACTTTTTTTAAAATGTAATCTCTACACCCAAAGTGGAGCCTGAACTCACAACCCTGAGATCATGAGTCTCTACCGACTGAGCCAGCCAGGTGCCCCCATCATTCTTTTTTGACCATGCCTCCACCTGGCAAATGGGGAAAACTGTCAGGGTGAAGGTGGGGGTTGTTAGAGGGGAAAGTAGGGCTGGAGTCAGCCATGTCAAGGATCTAGGTCTCTTTCTCAGAGTTGGCAGATGACATCTGCTGCCTCCTCAAGGAACCCTGTGCCCTGCGCAAGGCTGGCCCACTCCCTGGCAAGTCCATACCCCTACCTGTGACTGTGCAGAGGGCACCACTCAATTGGAAAGAGCTGGACAGGTAAGGGGACCCCTGACACATGAAGGGAGAACAAAGGAGAAAGAAGGACCCACCCCTGGGAACCCACAACCCCAAATGAGCCTGTCACCTTTGGGGACACTGGCGAGCCAGTGAGTACTAACTGACCTCGTAGAGACCAAGCCAGGCTCAGCAGGACTGTAGGGGGACTGGCAGGAAGGAGAAAGATGGAGTGAATAGAGGGCATGCCCAGATGGCCAAGATGGCCAGGATGGAAGGTCAGACAAGATGGGGTAGAACAGAAAGCACCAGTCCTGAATGGAAAAGTCAAGCTGGGGTTTTATCTGACAGAGAACGGGGAGCCAGTGGGAGTTTTCAGGTGGTGTGAACTTGAACTGTGGTGAGAGCAGGGAGGAAGATGAGGCTCCGTGACCCAACTCTCTTCCCCTCTCCACAGCTCCCTCCTGTTCTCTGAAGCACCTGCCTTAGGGGAGTCCCCTCTCCTCAGTGAGGGGCTCCGGGAGGCCATCAGCTCCTACATCAGCCTGACTGATGACAGCTCCCTGGATGATGCCATGGCCCAAAGCAGAGGCCAAAAGGGAATACAACGCTGCAGCACCTAGACCCCCAGCTCAGCTCAGCCTGAGCACTCCAGAGGCAAATTCAGGGTCCCACTTGTATCCTTTGCTCCTTCCTGTCTCAGCCCTAAGAAGTCACTTAACCCTCTCCCAATGCCATGAACCCACCTGCAACCTCTAGTTCAATTACAGACCAGCTGAGAACAGGGACAGGGCTCTAAAGAGACTAGGCCTCTGGGGTTTGACACAATTTGACCTGAGTTTGGGATTTCCAGAACCATCTTCCTCCCCTGCCCATTGTGTCCCCTTCTACACCCCCACAGTTCCACCCACTAGGTAGAAACAACCACTAGCATCAAGAAGAAAAAAAAAAAAACATTTAAAGAGAATCTACAAGTCTCACTCAGAATACCATACTTCAGAAGGTAGGACTGTGGCCTAGAAGGGACAGGAAAGCAAAGGGATGGATGTCTTCCCACAGCAACAGAACCGGAATGTCCAGCCTCCACCTGGCCCCCCAGAGCAAAGGGGACCTCTGACAGTCAATGTTCTCAAACAGCCCCATCAAACCTCTTCTCTGGACAGTCCTAGCTCCAAGATCTCTATTTCATTTTGTAGCTTATCATTTGAACCTGCCTAAGCTTTCCTGGCTACAGTGGCCTTGCCATCTTGTGGCCAAACACAAAATGGCACCTTCTAGGTCTAGCACACATGTCTCTCAGCACCTGGCAGGGGCATCAGAAGTCAGTAAGCCTCTCTCCACAAAGCTAAGGCCACAGCCTACACCAACTCCAGCCCCTGATTTCCCTGCTGCCCATTAAGGAAGAGAGGCCTGGCTGGAGCTACTAAAGGAGCAGGGACAGGAGAGGAGGAAGAGGGATGAGGGTGGAGGGCAGGGTTCTGAGGCTAGAGGTGATGTGGGAAAGGCTTTAACAGGTATCATCAACAGGTTCTCAATTAAAGATTTGATTTATTCAAGTACCTGAAAACATTCTACAATGAAAACTTATTAGATGCTGCTTGTACTGTGCTATGGACCACGCACATACTGCCACTCTGTTTTCAGAAGACTTGAAATGCCACTGATAGTTTAAAAACTGTACACCTGAGGGAGAAGTGAGGAAGACAATTTAATGTTTCATCCGGATCCAGAGGTGCATCAAATTAAATGACAGCTCCGATCAGCAAACAGGTGTTTCATGATGATATCCAAGAAGAAATGGTTGGTGATGGACAATTCAGAAATGCTTCCCCAAAAGGCGGATGGTTCTTTAAAAAGTTTCAGATCACAACCCTTGCAGAAGACACTGATGCCCAACACAATGATTCTTGGTCCAGAAAACATGGGTCTTCCAGGTTCCACGTGGCTGGGGTGTCCCTACAATCATGTTTCTGTGCTGTAACTATGAGGGTCCTCTGGACCGGACAGAGAGTAGGTGGGGTCTGTACACCATCAGTCATAGTGGATGGCAGTGTAAAAAATGATCCAAATGACCTAGAGAGGAGAAAAGCAATGGTCATAGGTCACCTGGGTCAACACAGGCACCTATTCCACAAAACAAAAATGTCAAAGAATGTGTGCACAGTGGGCTTCCCAGGGGTTATTCAATGCAATCAGCCGGGAGGCCTAAATAATTTCACTGAAATCAAGTTGTCTCTGACAGAGCACAGGATCACCCACCAGTGCTACCAAAGAGACCATGGACAAGCTTCCCTCTCTCAACCAAATAGCAACTGGAGCACCAGGGAGTGGAGTTATAGATGTGGAAATGATACAGGTAAAGGGTTAGGATTAGCAACAAATGTGAAAAACAAACCACCACCATACCCTGTCAGCTTCTTATCAAATAAAGCAGAGGTTCTCAAAACTGGTTATTCACTGTAATCTCCTGGGACCGTTAATACATATGTATGCCCAGGCACCCCTGCCCAGAGATTTTGATTTTACTGATTTGGACCAGAGTCTATAATTTTTTAAAAATTAATCTCAAGATATGATTCATATTTCATATGTTCATATGGACTGTCCTTACCAGGACGTTGCACATAAAGTTCACCTTCTGAAGTATATAGTAGGAAAAAAAAAAAAATATATATATATACAATACAGAGATTTTTAGTATATTCACAGAGTTGTGCAAAAATCACGCTGATTCTGGAACGTTTTCATCATCCTCAGTTTCTTCCCATTTCCCTGTCCACCCCCCCCCACCCCAGTCACTGGCAACCACTAATCTACTTTTTTATCTGTGTGGATTTGCCTATTCTGGACATTTACATAAATGGAATCACGTAACATGTTTTGTGTCTGGCTTCTTTCACTCAGCATAACATTTTCAAAATTCATCAAAGTTGTAGCCCCTACCAGTACTTTATTCCTTTTTATGGTCGAATACCATATGGATATACAACATTTTATTTATCTACTGACAAGGTGACGGTTGTTTGCGCTTTTTCAGCTATTATGAATGCCATAAACATATTTTTAAATGTTTCCTAGTTTCTACTACACAACCACATTTGAGAATCAGATGTAGAAGCTGATGACAGGCCCTGGGTGTGTACACCAATAGGGAGACGACAGTGTACCACACCACATCTTTTGGGACAACTGGACTGATGGAGGAAATGCCCTCCAATCCCTGGAACCTTTTGAAAAATGGTACACCCCAATCACAAAGCGTAACCCAATCAGTGTGCTCCCCTTGAGAAACAACAGGATTTACTATATAACAGCTATACATACCATGAACAAGGCAAAAGATGTCATAAACCCTTCTTTTGTGAGCTCCCATGTGCCACCATATTCTTCCTCATCTATCTGTAGGTAGTTGCTGAAGTAGAGATACAGGACTCCTGCATTGATCAGGCAGAATCTGGAGGGAGGACAAGCACCGAACACAAACTATGAGCTCAGAAGACTTAGAACTCCACTACCACAGTCCAGCCTTACCAGGACGTTGCACAGTTAAGTATTTGTATTATGGGGGCAAGTGAAAAATAATACATGGACCTAGACCCTCAATGGAACTGCCCAATGGTTGAGCTAGAGACATAAAGAGCAACTTTTATTTAGATGCCCAGCAAAAATTTTTAAAAAAAATTTAAAAGCACATAAAAGTTCTCCAAGCTCTCTCAAAATAAGAGAGAATGGTAGCCAAACCATCCCAAACCAGGACTAGTACCTGACATGGGCCTCCAAGTAGCTCCAGTTGGGGTGGGGTGGCCACGGGACAAATACATGTCAGGCTGCTGCTTCACGGCCTAGTGGAACAAGCAAGCATACTAAAGCAGCTCCTGCATTCAATCCCAATGGGAGACAATTTCCAGATATCCACTGTCAGCTACTGCACTTGATGCAGAGGTGAACACTGACAATTGCTGCTCTACCTCAGCTATCTATTAGGAGGCCAAAAACAGCCGTGAGCATGGAACTGAAACCACAGGTTTGTGAGCACCTCCAGGGAGGTCTTTGATCCCCCATATTGTATTTAACTAATGAAGCATTTAGAATGCAATGAGGTGTAATGTTATCACCCTGATCTACTTATCTCTTGGTACAGTCATCATGTAGGAATTTTTATAGAGTGATCAACACTTTATTATCTTCCAAGTTACAGAATCTAATCCAATGGGGGACTGTATGTTTTAAGCCACACTGCTCCTGAAGGCTGGGTTGGGGAAAATGCAAAGAACTAGTTCCTCCTAATGGATGAAGTGTGGGCTGGTGTGGGGCAGGGCAGTACAATGATGCTGAGGAGTGTTCATCAGTATAAGGGGTAGGGGGCAGACCCTGGGGCTGTTGGAGCATGAGACAGAGTATACATACAGCAGAAGTCTAGTTTTTTTGTTTTTGTTTTAAAGATTTTATTTTTAAGTAATCTCTATACCCAACCAGGGGCTCGAACCCATAACCCTGAGACCAAGAGTCGCATGCTCTACTGGCTGGGCCAGCCAGGCATCCCAGAAGTCTAGTTTGTGAGGAGAGTATAGGCTTTCTCATGAGTAGGGGGAACAGAGGCTGGGAGACTGGTTTAGACTTGTACCATGTTTTATGACATGAGCAGAAATAAAGCTTGAGGACAGGGACTGGGAAAATGGCTGAATAGGGAGGTAAGAGACTCAAAGGCTTCAAGCCTAAGGGTCTGGGAGTATAATGGTTCCAGTAACAGGCAGGGAGTCAGAAAAGCAGGTTTTTCTTGGATTTCACACAAAATACAGTCCCTGGCTTGGTCATGTTGTGGCCACATCCTTATCTTCTGCCAGAAATCTTGGGACCTAGCCAATCTGGCTGCCTCTGTCAGGAGTTTCATTTTTGTTTTGTTTTTGAAAGACTGATTTATGTATTTTATTTTTTTAAAGATTATTTATTTATTTATTTGAGAGAGAGAATGAGATAGAGAGAGCATGAGATGGGGGAGGGTCCAAGGGAGAAGGAGACTCACTGCTGAGCAGGGAGCCCGACGCGGGACTCAATCCCGGGACTCCAGGATCATGACCTGAGCCGAAGGCAGTCACTTAACCGACTGAGCCACCCAGGCGCCCTGATTTATGTATTTTAGAGAGAGCACGCATGCGTGAGTAGGGGGAAGGGCAGAAGAGGGAGAGAGAATCCTCAAGCAGACTGCCTGCTGAGCACAGAGGCCAATGCAGGGCTTAATCCGAGGACCCTGATATCATGACTTGAGCTGAAATCCAGAGCTGGGCGCTCAACCAACTGAGCCACCCAGGTGCCCCATGGAGCTTCATTTTGGACAGGCTGTTAGTGGTTCCAGACAGAGATTACTAGCAGGACTCAGAAATGTTACTCTGGGACTCACCTAATAAGCTAGGGCTGGAGAATAGCTGAGACTCATTTTGAGTCTCTGCCGATAAAAGTGCTTAGTGATATGATATAGGGAAATACAAGGAAAAGAGGAAATAAGGGATGAGAGAGAGAAAAGAGCTAACTGGGCCCCTGCCTTCCAAGGGTCACACACTAAGTAGCAAGTGAAGTCACAGAAACAAAGGCCTTCAAACGTCTGGTGGTCAAGGGGGAGGGCTCAGGAAAGGACTGGAGGAGCTCAAACTGAGCTTTAAAGATGGGCATACATGGGCGCCTGGGTGGCTCAGATGGTTAAGCATCTGCCTTTGGCTCAGGTCATGATCCCGGGGTCCTAGGATCGAGTCCCACATCAGGCTCCTTGCTCTGCCGGGAATCTGCTTCTCCCTCTCCCTCTGCCTCTCCCCCTCCCCCTGCTTGTTCTCTGTCTCTCTCGTCAATGAATAAAATCGTTAAGAAAAAAAAAAGGGGGGCATACATCCAGGGATGCCTGGGTGGCTCAGTCATTAAGCATCTGCCTTCGGCTCAGGTCATGATCCCAGGGTCCTGGGATCGAGCCCCGCACAGGGCTCCGTGCGCCACAGGAAGCCTGTCCCTCCCTCGCCGTCTATCAAATAAATAAATAAAATCTTAAAAAAAAAAAAAAAGATGGGCATAAATCCTGTATTGTAAATGGGGGAGAGAATTACACAGATGTATAGACAAAGAAATGAACGTGGATTGGGGGTGGGGGAAAAACCTTACAAAGACTCTCCAATGCACTTTTAAAACTCTATCCTAAAAAATTCAGAATTTTAACAAAATAACGAACCTCTAACAAATACTCTGATTTCAGAGCTGGGAGGCTACATGACAACAGTAAGGTATGACCCTGCTTTCAAGGATCAGTGGGAATTCATTTCAGGTTTTAAAAAATTTTAACAAGCATTCACTGAACACCTATTAATCATTATGCCAGGCTCTATGAGAGACAGAGAGGCAAGAATAGATGACACAAAACCTCTGCAGAGCAGAACCACCACTCAGTTCTCAGGCAAATTATAAATAATGAGAATGGAGAAAATGGTTTTATCTTAATATGCCCTCACTGTCACCACACCAGAAATGAAGAGAAGCCAAGGTGGAGCCCAGACAGAGGGTAGTTAAGGCAGAAAGTGGAGAGAAGAGGGTCACCAGAATGGAGCACCAGAGCAGTCCTGCCCTAAGCCCAGGCAACTGGGTCAGACAGATGGAAGAGAGGGAGTGTGTGTGGAAAAATCAATGTCCTTGGGCCCTTTCCAAGAGCAAGGGAAAAGGTGCCAACCAAAGGAGGGAAGAGATTTGTTTGGAGTGAGAGAAACTGGCTCTGGCAGGACAGCAGGGGACCGAACCCCAGGAAACAGGCAGTCCTGAGAACGCAGCACTATGGGTGAGCCACTCCAAGGTGAATTCACTCCCAAATACCTCCTTTCCTGTTTTTTCAACAGCGATTTTTAGCACTCTTTGTAAAGCTAATCATATGACTGCAGTGAACCATTTATGGAGTGCAATATGACGTACTAAGCACTACATTTAGGAATTTACTTGCATTATTTAGTTCACACATCCATCTTATGAGGAGGGCACTTTTAGTGCCCCCTTTTAATGATGAGAGAATGGAAGCTTAGAGAGATGAGCCCAAAATTATGTAGCTTGAAAGTGGCAGAGCTGGAACTTGAATCCAGAGCTTTTTACAGTTAAAAGAAAAAAAGAAAAAAGAGATCTCTAAGCAGCTTAACTCATCTGCCACAGTGGGAAGGATACTAAACTAACTCTGGTCTTTGTTATATTATTCCTAGATTGGGTGATTTCAGAGAAATCTCTTAGGAATCAGCAAGATGAGATGGGGGCAAGGGGTCTGAATCAGTGTTCTTCTCTCCTAGAAAAGTGGCCTTGGGAAGATGAGAGACTCCCTCTTGTCTTTAGACTGCCTTCCCCCTTTCTCTGACCTTTCCTCGTTTGCCTTTTCTTTCACAGAAAGCTCAAATGGGATGACCAACATTCCAGAAGAGTATCTATACACTTCCTCCAACTGGGGAAGACCTTATGAACCCAGGTCCTGTGTCTCCTCACCATCACTCAGAACTCATCACATGTGCACTCCCATCAAGGTTAGGCAGAGCATAACATAAACTCTTACTCCTTTCCTTGGACAAATGTTTTGCTCAGTATCACAAATCAAAAACCTTTTTAGTTAGAAGAGAAGACTGTATATTCCTTTTGGGTTATCTTCTGAGAAAATAAGGAACTCAAATGAATTTGAAATCTGTTTCACCCTTTTCACCCTAGAGTGACGAAATAAGAGATGTGTTCACCCCTAAAACAACCAATGTGATGTTCCATGGTTAAGGATCACAGTTCCTGTGTGGGGGGGAAAAAAAAAGCTCACAAGCTTGCCTGTCCATTTCCCACTGTAGCTTACCCACAATTCCTATCGAGACAACTCCTACACATCCTTTTTTTTTTTTTAAGATTTTATTTATTTATTTGACACAGAGAGAGAGAGCAAGCGCGAGCAGGAATACAAGCAGAGAGAGTGGGAGAGGGAGAAGCAGGCCTCCCGCCGAGCAGGGAGCCCGATGCTGGGTTCCAACCCAGGACCCTGGGATCATGACCTGAGCCGAAGGCAGATGCTTAACAACTGAGCCACCCAAGCGCCCCTCCTACACATCCTTTTAATTCAGTCTGGTAGGCATGTGGACTCGTCACTTTCAGTTGCTTGTTAACAAGCTGAGCCAAGACCAGGGGTAGGTGTCAATTGTGCTGCCACTGGCCATGGAAACAGTAAAAAGTGGAGGGCCTAACCTTCTACTTTCTCACTGCTTTTAAAAAGTAGGGATATGGGGGCGCCTGGGTGGCTCAGTCGTTAAGTGTCTGCCTCCTGGGATCAAGCCCCGCATCGGGCTCCCTGCTCAGCGGGAAGCCTGCTTCTCCCTCTCCCACTCCCCCTGCTTGTGTTCCCTCTCTCACTGTGTCTCTCTCTGTCAAATTAAAAAAAAAAAATCTTTAAAAAGGGATCCGAAATAACTTCTGTCAAAGCCAAGATTCAAGACATCTAGCATAGTGTCAGTCATAAGGGAGTGGTCATCGAGTACAGAAGTTCCTCTACTTTCCAAATTTCCACTGGTACAAAGGTCATGCCAGAACTAGATGCCTGCCACCAACAGGCAATGCAGTAGCCTCTTGCATGAGATCCCTCTGGACCCATAAATGAACAGACTGGCCCAGTCCAGTATCTGGAAACATAACATATCTAAGCTAAGATGCTCCCAGGCCTGCTGAACTGAGGAGTGCTGCACCAGACCCAGGAGTGCCATCATGGGGCTACTTTTTTGCCTTTTTAATTTCTCTCACACAACACACACAGTCATCTTTAAAAAATAAACAAAACAAAACAAAACTATATACATATAGAGATATATACTATACATATATATACTTATTATATCTATCTATATATATCCTCCAACTTAGCAATGGCCTTTTCCATAAAAAAGAAACAAAATCTCTATTTGAAATGACATCATGAAAATGGAACATACCCAAGACTTACCCTGCTATTCCCAAGAAACCCCGCAATGGTAAGACTCCCCAGATGACACCTAGGACCACAGCAATGATCTGTCGGAACCAGTAGATCACATCTAAAAATTCATCCTGTAGAAAGAAAGAGAATGCATGCATTATCTGCGGTGGGTGCCACATGCGAGCCTCTGTAACAGGTGAGGAATAAAAAAGCTTTCTGCCATAAACACATCTTCCAGAGAAATTTCTCCAAGAGCAATAGTATGTAGTTTTCTTATCTCCACGTTTTATACTAAAACGTGGTTTAAAAACAAAAACGACATACTTAGTTCTCTTAAGTGATGACTTCTGGGCCTGTGTGCTAAGTAAAAATTTTAGAAAAATTTACTTTTTTTAGAAGCTTCAAAAATGAAATGGCCTGTGATGAAATGCCTGTGATAGTAACTGTGCTACTGGCCACAGAACACTCTTGTCTGACCCTCAGAGAAGAGATCTAGACAGACTATGCATAGGCAGAAGGGCTATTAACCGACTCAGCACCATCTTCCTGCACACTGAATTTGGACTAAGTCACAAAGAAGAAAGGAATTAGAAACAAAAGTGCTGAAGGCTGGTCCCAGCATATCTGATTTTCATACAAGGACATTAAAGACTCAGGTTTCTGACCTGCCCCAGATTGCAGAAACCAGTCCTTGTACAAGAATGAAAGAAAGAAATGACACAGCAGATCAGAAAGGTTTTACAAGAACTGGGCAGGGCTGGGGGCAGGACAAGGGCACCTTCAGGAAGTACCTCCCATTCCCCACCCCCCACCCCCTCGCCTTAAAGGAACTCCAGGAAGGAGAACCCACTTAATCGGTCCAGAAAAACAAGGGAAAAACTGCAAGTAACATTCTTTTCAGGCCAACTGGAATCAAGCTGTCTGTTTTGGTCCCTTCCAGATCATGAAGCAGAGTTGGGGAGTGCCTACACCCAGATCTTCTGAAATTGTGTGACCAGTGAAAACATCTTGAAGCCCCAACCGTTTCTCACAAACATTTGGTGGCTTCCCCCTCTCCCTCCCTCTCTCACACACCTCTGAGGTGGTCTCGGTCTCCCCTCTCGCAATTATTAAGGCATTTGGTATTTCTCATTCAATAAAAAAGCAATGGCAGCTCACCGTTAGTGAGCCTCATCACGTGCTCAACGCTTTCCTGCACCACGGTACCCCACTTCAGAGCTGTTCTGAGAATTCAGTGAGATAATGCGTGGAGAGAGCACCCGGCAGAGTCTTCAGTGGAAGACTGTTACCGTTCCTGTTCGTGCTAACGACGGTATTAAGTAGTTAGTTCGGAAAAGACAAGTCACTTACTGAAAATCCTACTGGCAGTAAAAGGCGGAGGTCGAATTCAGCTCACTCTCGCCGTTCAGGCACACGCCCTGCCCGCGGGTGCCAACTCCCGTGCCCCCTTCTCGCTGCTTCCCGCGTGACCCAGGCGGCTTCACGCTTAGGCCACTCCGCGGTGAGCTCCGAGCCCGGCTATCAGGCCCGCCGGGCCCGCCAAGTTCGTCCCGACACCTTTGTGCCACCCGCACCCCTCCCACACCTCCCCAATCCAAACACTCGGCCGCGCCCAGGCCGGGCAGGGGCAGGCTCGAGCCTGTCCATTCGTCCCCGGGTCCCAGCCGGCTCCTCTAACCTGCGCCCTCGCCAGGTCCCACCGCACCTTGTCCTCCCAGGCCGCGTCGCTCCGCAGCACCTTGCTCCAGACAGAGACTTTAAGGGCCCCGTTGGCCAGCTGCGGCTGAGGCGGCTCCTCCTTTCGCCGCCCGCCGCTCATCCTCCCGTCGCGCCGCCCGGGCCGGGCCTGGGGCGCGCGGGCCAGGCCAAAAGGTGTCGGGCTCTGGAGTCGCGCGTCACGGCGCGCCGGGCGGCGGCGGCGACAGCGACAGAATCAGTGGTCAGGTTCGGTAGCGCGCTGCTGCTGCCTTCACTCGGCCAAAACGCCGGCTCGGCTCGCTCTCTAGCTCAGCCGAGACCTGGCGCTGCGGAGGGAGGAGCAACGCAGCGCAGCGCAGCGCGTCCTCCCGCCGACGAACCCACGCAGCCAATCGACAGCCGTGCAGCCATCCGAGGGAAAGCGCAGTCGTCCCCTCGGCGCAAGCGCTCTACGCGTGACGGAAGTGACGGCAAGTTTCCGCCAGGCGCACGGTAGGGTGAGTGGGAAGGGACAATCTAGGTGGGGATGGTGACGCGAGCGCGAGGAGGCGCTGTGGGGACTGGAGAACGGCGTCAGAGAGCCGAGGTTAGACTTGAGCGTCGCTCAGCCCTCCACGGTTCGTCCGCTAGAGCCGTGGGGTAGAACGGGGCCCTGTTTTTCCGCGTCCTTCGAAGCCCAAAACTGGCTCCCCGGAAGTCCCCAGCGGCTCCCTCAGGATTGAGCGCTTGGTCATTTTCTCCCCTAACCCCTGCAAGTTCCGTAGGACCCTGTTGAGGATGTAAACTGTTTTCTGTATCAATTTAGTGTCTCATCTTGGCCCAGTATACTCTTTTGGCAAATATGAGACCTGAGATCCAAAGAGGGGAAAAGATTTTCTAAGGCTATATGGCAAGTTGGAACCGGTTGAGAACTCCTGAGGCAGGGGTTGGGGTGGGGGGAGTGCAGAAAGTACTTTATTAGCTATCAGAATATCTGAATATTCATCTACTGTGTCCTCGCTGTGTGCTAGGACAGTGGTTCACAACGTCTGTGTCTGGACCACCAGCAGCCACATCACCTAGGAACTTGATTAGAGATGCAGATTCTCGGACCCCATCCCAGAACTGCCAAATCAGAAATTGTGGGAGTGTGGCCCATAATCAGCATTTTAGTAAGCCCTCCAGGTGGTGCCTTGTGCATTGTACTGTGAAATAAGTTGAGACCAAGACCCTTCTGTGTGGTGGGTTTATAGAGGCTAACTTGTCTGGAATCATTCAGCTAGTACCTGGGTCTGTCTGACTCCAAAATCTTTACTCTTAACCTTAAGTTGTTAGTCTTTTTTTTTTTTTTTTTGAGATTTTATTTATTTATTTGAAAGAGAGAGTGAGTGAGAGAGAGTGTGAGCAGGGGGAGGGGGAGAAGCAGACTCTTGCTGATCAGGGAGCCTGATGCAGGGCTCCATCCCAGGACCCCAGGATCATGACCTGAGCCAAAGGCAGTTGGCCAACCAACTGAGCCACCAGGTGCCCCTAAGCTTTTAGTCTTAAAGAATATTAGTGAGGTCAGAATATCCTTTGTATACCTGTCAACATTGACCTGTATTTCTCCCCCTAGGCAAGCAACAATCTCCTAGGGAGCTTTTTCAGAATTCCATAGCTGGTGTTTTCAACCACAGCTCAATTCCAAGATCCTCTTTCAATAGGTTGAGTGAAGCTGGACCCCAAAAGATGACATACACAGCAACAGACATTACTATGTCTGGACCTGGTGGGAGGGACATATACCTAACATGGGTCCATGTCTTTTAGTCCTCCAACTTTCACATGGATCTTGTTCTTTTTCAGCCCTGCCTTTTTTAAAAAATTTTTTATTGTTATGTTAATCACCATATATTACATCATTAGTTTTTGATGTAGTGTTCCACGATTCATTGTTTGTTCATAACACCCAGTGCTCCATGCAGAATGTGCCCTCTTCAATACCCATCACCGGGCTGACCCATCCCCCACACTCCTCCCCTCTAGAACCCTGTTTGTTTTTCAGAGTCCATCATCTCTCATGGTTCGTCTCCCCCTCTGACTTACTCCCCTTCATTCTTCCTCTCCTGCTATCTTTTCTTTTTCTTTTTTCTTAACATATGTTGCGTTGTTTCAGAAGTACAGATCTGTGATTCACCAGTCTTGCACAATTCACAGCACTCACCGTAGCACATACCCTCCCCAATGTCTATCACCCAGCCACCCCATCCCTCCCACCCCCAACCACTCCAGTAACACTCAGTTTGTTTCCTGAGATTAAGAATTCCTCATATCAGTGAGGTCATATGATACATGTCTTTCTCTGATTGACTTATTTCACTCAGCATAACACACTCCAGTTCCATCCACGTCGTTGCAAATGGCAAGATCTCATTCCTTTTTCTTTTTTAAAGGTTTTTATTTATTTATTGAGAGAGATAATGATAGAGAGAGAGCATGAG